AAAAAATGGAGTCTATAGAATTGTACTTGCTGTTGGGAAGACTGGATCTATATGTCACTTTGACTGGAATTAAGCAATGGGGGAGACGACAGCTGCTACTCGCAATCACTGATGTGTTGATCTGGTTCACCTGTTGGACTGTTGGAAAGGATAACGCGTCGGCGATTGCGTACCGGGAAGTCGTAACGTAAAGTTACGATGCCGTAACTAAACATATAAGTTTAAGCAAATTCAACTGCACATCTGTAACAACGTCATTTATCTACCGTCCTATTATTAACGTGCCATAGTATTCTGTCGGATACAGGTATGTACCGGTAGTACCGGCGGTACAGTACATGTACGTGAGCTATGCCGATTTCGACTATCCATAATTGCTTGAAGATGGTATGCTTCACCATGCCACCGCAATGTCGATATGTTAGTCTATGTGGTTCACAGCGAACAACAAACCAAGGCCATGGCTCTGTTGTAAAAGAGATAGCAAAAGCCAATGCTGTGGACGTCATGCCTAATAGATTGTCTACAAAGTTAATAGATTACGAACCTGCATTTTTTTTTAGTAGCATCGTTTTATTCGAGAAAACAGACCGATGCGTTTGTACGCCAGGATATCGATTGGCCATGATCAAATCCTCGAGGTGCACCTTATGGAACGTGACCAAACGGTACAAAAGCCAATCGTGGTGTAGCCAACATTGGTTTCTTAGCAGTCACACCAATTAAGTACTACGAAGTTGTTGAAACAGAAGATCACGATGCGATTCAACTTGTAAACGCTATCGGGTAAAGCAGGAATATTGTATTAGCCTTATGCAGTGTTGGATAGGCAGACATCTAGGTCTTGATACACAGTAAGGAAGAAAAAAAAAACTTTTTGGTGGGCGACAACATTGAATCGGAATAGCTGATTACAGTGGATGGTTGCGGCACCATCCGAATGATGGGCAGATCACACAAGATGGAGCACGCTTACGCTGGCTCTTCTGACTAAACTGGGGTGAAAAACGACGATTGAAGTCTTCTACAGAATCACGCTGCATCAGCAAAGCCAAAGTAACTCCCTCGACACCACGACGCGTACAGTACTGCTGAACCCTCAACTTGCAAAAAGTATCAAATACATTTTTTGCTCTTCATAGTACAGTCAATATTTCTCTCTGTTCACCTTTCTAACGTTAACAAGTAGTGTTCTGACTTAACGAAGGTAAGCTTGCAGTATGAAAATCGTTTCATATACCTTCCATCTGAACTAATATATATATATCGTTGGGGCACAGGACTCGTCTGAATCGGACCGTAAAGAAGAGTATAAAATAGTTTCGTGTACCGTGGTCAGGGCAGTCATGATTGGTAACCAAGCCTCAGTCATTTGCTATAGCTTCCAGTTGTAGTTTATATTTTATAATACGCTTCATTCGGCAGCTGATCGAGAACATTTATGTGGGTACAGTACAGTAGTGTTTGTGCTCAAATTGGCAATCCCGTGGAACCGTAAACACAAATAGGTTTAGCACGTTGCAGTTACCAAGTTTTATGGATGAGTACGAAGGTCTTTTTAGGAAGATGTACGCGTTGATAGTAAATAAGACATCAAACGCTACGACTGAGCAGCTATCGACAAACTTTTCAATTAATATGGCACATAGTATAATCAACTGGGTACTAGGCACGGCATATGCCTTTACGGACCTTGTAAACTACAGAAGGCACGCTCAGATAGTTTGACAATTTTAATAATGCTGTCCCTGACACGACCGGTCACTATTCATAGTATAAACGACATCGTAGATGGCTTCATACACCACAGCGATTCACTCGCCGCCCTACCACCAGCGACTATTGAACATATTGATCCTTGGGGTCGACTGTGCCAGTCCTCTGGCAGCACCACCATAGAAACGCAGCTTTCACCGATGGACAGGGAGAGGAAACGAAAAGACTCACAGAATTTCCAAGCTGATCCACCTCGCAGCATCCTGCGTTGCTAGCCTTATTTGCCATACCACAACCTCGAATGAAAAGAGGTGAAGACCAGCAAGGCGAAGGTGATGCAATGATTCAAGTCGGAAAGGAAAATGCAACGATAATTGATGTATTATAGGATTCATCGAACAACATACACATCTCGGCTCCCTCTAAAAGATAATGATCGTCAACGTGATGTTTAATATCGGGCGTGGTATCCATTTGACCATGCAGAACTGGAAGTGCTTTACATTTTGGTTCCATGGGTGGACATTTATGGTCTCAAGAAGTGCGCTGTGGGAAGTATTGTCGACTCCATGACGATAATCTTTACCATTACAAAAATTCATTTTTAACCACAACATTCCCGCATTAACAAAGACGGGATCGATCTCCTGGTTAATGGGATCGTAGCACGAGGATCAACCCAATTCAACTGATACTCAACGAAAAGACCCTTATTTCACCAACTCCATATCGTGGACAGTATGGTGTGCGCACAAGCACACGCCTCGAAGCATCTGAAATCTAACAGTCACAGGTAGATATAGTCTTTCCGCTGTAGTTGATAGAGTGCGTAGATGGATTGAGGTTTTCATCAGTTTGCCGCCCGATTTACAGGCATATCTCGACATCCGGTTTCAATCAATCAACGGTCGAAACTAGGGTAAGAGAATCTCATTTTGCTAAATCCGATCAGACTAGGGACTTAATGATCAATGGGACGTCATCCACAGTTGACCACGCCTTTCGTGACTACTGCTGAGTTTAATATAGAGGTCATTGAGGAGTAAATACTGGTCATATGTTGGCTGCAGCTAAAGAAGCGTTTTCCGGAATACAAGAGTCGAACTATTAGCCAGAACAGTCCGACACGCTACACGTCATCCTATCCCGCTAGGAGTCTATGCCGTCGAGGACGCGCAAACGAAGTAGTATACGTTAGATTAATCATTGTAGTTCTGCCTCCAAGACCAGCCAGGCAAAACACACCGTTCAATGGCCCCCAGCTATTGCTGTGATCTTCCAAAGCAAGGTGCCCTCCACCGTCCATGTGCTACTCATGCCGGAAGATGCTCCAGGAAAGTTAGTTACAACGCCTTCCTACCGCTCCGTGACCTCCGTTTCCGGAACATTGGCACGGGCGAACTCCTTGCACCGCCCCATGGAACCATCGACGTTCAAACCTCAATCGTACGCAATCGGCGGCTGGATGCATCTGAGTACAACAATGGTGCGCCAGGGGGGTGGCTGCGTAATCCGGTATTCGGGGTTGACGAAGTTAAGTACGTCATTGGTCAAGTCATCGCCTACGACGGGGATACTGTGTCCATCCGGACTCCCAATGGCAAGCGCACGTCATCCGGCAACGATCTCGTGGAGATTGCACCTGTTCTATGCCTCATCACCGGTGTTTCAAGTAGACTGCTTATGATAATCGAAAAGTTTGATATTAGATATAGTACTAACTAATTGAGCGGCTCTCTCAACCAGTTGTTTGGTTGGGAGCAGTTGGTCAGGGAGACCAGCACTTCGCTTTCTCCCCGCCAGCCCCAAGCCTCTCTTCCTCCTTCTCTTCCGCCTTCAAGGGGCCGGTTTGATATACTGATAGCACTTGTTGGTTAAGACTCGACGACCATGGCCCCCGCCACGCGCAAGAACGACCAAGATGCGCCGTCTCCGGGAGGAGAGAGACAAGTGGAGCTGAAAGCGCAGCTTGTACAACTACGCTCTGATATCCTAGCTCACCAAGCGAACAATCAAGCACAACGCCAGTAGCCGACGGGGTCCTAACATCGCGTTTCGAGGGGCCAGCCGAAGTTTAAGGGGAAGTGCGACGAGGACGTGCGCCAGTGGCGCTTTGAAGATGAGACACTGTGCCGGATCAACGGCGATGACGCAGCAGACGGCAACCACACGCTACCTTTAATCGCTGGGACAGCGATGGAGGAGCCTGCATCAGGAGGGTTTCTGTTCTGGGCCTCCAGAACATCTGCAGACGAGCAGACATGACGCCGGTTTACGGATGATGCCCTCGAAGCCTCCAACTACCAGGCTGTGCTACGACAGAACCTTCGCCAACTCCACAAGGTCAATGACATCTAGAAGTACAACGGCAAGTACTCGTCATTGATCTTCCGTGTTGAGGACATGAGCGAAGTCGACCAACTCAGCACCTACTGTGACGGACTCAAGCGTGCGACACAAGCCTACGTCAAGCTTCGGAATGCGACGCCGCTGAGTGAGGCAATAGACAAAGCTGCCAAGTATGAGATGTCTCATTTAAGTGGTGAACACAAGGCAACTCGCGAGAAACCGAGGCGTGAGCAACAGTCCCGTGGACGGACGAGCTCCAGACAGTCCAGCGACAAGAAGTCCGTTCAGCAAGAAGTCCTTCAACCCGGGTCACTTCGTCCCCGCGGAACAGACCAAAGTAGGGTATGCGTGCTACTTTTGCAAGAAGCCTGGACACTTCAAGCGTGACTGCAAGAAGCTGAAGAGTGAAACGATTAGCCATGCTAGTAGAAGAGGGACCTGACGTGGCGAAGGCTAGTGAAGAAGATTTAACCAAAAACGAGGATACGTTGAATCTACTTTGTGATGACCCTCTCGTCTACAACCGTGCACTGTTGTTTTCGATTGAAGGAGCAATGGTACAGGGTGGAAACAAATTCGGTACCAAGTTTCTGTTGGACTGTGGTGCCATGTATCGCGTGGATTTGTCAAGCGGAATGCATTGAAGACTCACTTTTACACTAATTGAACTATCAAGGGGAGGCTCGGTGACAACAAGATGGGCGAGTCTATCCTCGCCGTAGTGAAGATCAAGATTCGACTTCAATTTGCACCGAATTATCAGTGTGTGGCAGTTGTCTTCGCCATTCCTGAAAAGTTTGACTGTGTACTCGGAATGCCATTTTTTGTGGATGTACATCCTGATATCGACAGAAAGAATCGATGCTTCAAGGAATACGTCTCAAATGGAGCCTCAACGACGGACATTTCGACTCCCGGGGGGAAGTGCAGTCCGGTTAATGGCTCTGGACTTCACGTTGCTGTGGATTGTGAAAGAGCTTCCGTGATAGGCCGTGATTCCTGTCGAGCCGCCGTGCCAGAAACACAGTTGGAGGGCAAAGTGGAAAGCGTTGAAAGAATGTATGAGGACGTGGGGACTCTCTCGAGGCAAGAAAAGAAGAACGCCAGCGCAGCGACAATGTTTACTATTGGAGTTATTGACTCGGAAGGAGTTGCGGCCGAGTACATAACAAGAAAGAAGGCCGAGTACATAACAAGAAAGAAGCTACAGAAATTCCTACGGTTGTCTGCGAAGAACCGACCGGGACACGATTTCATGATTGTACTGACTAACGATATCATATAGGAGATTGAACGAGATGTCAGGAGGAACGATGAACCTGGTAACGTTGGATCAGAAAAAGCCAAGCGGTTCCTGCATACGGACTGGGAGACGTTCCAGGATAAACCAGCGTATCCCGTTCTCGTCGAGTACAAGGGTACTGTGTTCAAGCCGGAGTTGCCTGATGGACTACCAATGGGGCGCGACATTGAACATCGTATCGACGTGAAACATTCAAGATATGTATCGACAGCAGTAGCGTCTCTCGCCAGAGTAGAAGGGGGAAATCAACAAGTGGGTACGAGAGATGATCCCGATGGGACTGACCCGACCGAGCATCAGCCCTCACGCGGCGCCAACTTTATGTGTGCGGAAACCGGTAGGATGGCGCATCGAC